CACACACACACACACACACACTCTCTCTCTCTCTCTCTCTCTCTCTCTCTCTCCCTCTCTGTGTATGAAATAATGAAACAAGAGAAGAAGATGAGGCACCTTTTAACTCACTAAAGCTGACGCATAGACAACCCCAATTAAGTCTTTTAAGTCATAATTTTTTTATTCAATTTCTTTTCTGGGGTAATTAGTTTGGAATTTAAGATAAAGACAGAAAATTAGGTTAGAAGCCAAGTCCAATTTCGTTTCAACTAATGAATTTGAAGGATTGCAAGAGAAAGCAAAAGCAATTTTATTCTCTTTGACTAGTAGTCTAAAAATCAAAGCCCTCCTCATCAATAATTTAAAGTCTCACAGTGGATTGATACCAAACAGCATCAAATATATTTGCTGAATTTGACTACCGTTTCTTATGTTAGTGTGTTTGCTGCACCATTCATAATTTTGGACTACTTATCGCTGATTGGACAAGGTTAATATCAGTGAACAGGTTGTTTTATTTTATATATTTTTTTATTTGTGAAGCTCCCATAGATCGCTGATTGGACAAGGTTAATATCAGTGAACGGGTTGTTTTTATTTTATATATATTTTTATTTGTGAAGCTCCCATAGAACTTTGCTTTTTTCTGAACCTATTCCAATGATGACTGCAGTCCAAGAAATCAACATTGTAGATTCTACAAAAAAATGTTATGTCATTGGTTTGCATCTCTACCTGCACGGGTGTGATATTTTCATTTGTTTGCAAGTTGGAAATTCAACTGAATCAAACTATTTCCAGGTGATTATGATTTCTGACCCAAAAGGAATGTTCAAGCACTCACTATTTTTTAAGTACACACACACACACACATATATACATATAAGAATTTACGTGCTTTAAGAAACTCTCCCAAACACCACCCTATCACAGGCTTCATGGCCTAACTTTTCCAGCAAGCATATAAAAGCCTTGTAGCTGACAGACCTGACCCATTTGGAGCCACCCGAAGCACTTTCAAACTCTTTAACCACCTTTCCAGATAACATCTTCAAACCCTTCACATGAAAGCTTCTTTGGGATGTCCAGTGGCAATCGGATGCGAAACCAACACTTTCAAAAAGAAATGGAAGCGTCTTGTAGCCATCAAATAGTGTTGAACTTGTCCCAGAAGGGAAGTGTTGTGTCATGAAATCACTTCATAATAGGATCAAATGATGGACCAACTTCAATGTCATTGTAGCAGCAAACAGTAAATACACCTCCTGGCTTCTTCAAAAGACGCGAAACAATATTGTAAAACTTTGGTAGGTCAAACCACCAGTGCAAAGCTTGGGCGACAGTCACCAAGTCATCTGAATCTTCACCCCCTACCAAAAGGCTATTACTTCATCGTCTGCAATGTCTAGTGGCGTGTGGGCGTATCCAACCTGAGTATGCGGCATTGCATGATGCAGCTGGGATTCACTCACTATAGATGTATCATAGTGAGTAGATGCTGAGCACTATGAACAAGCAATTGAAACCATGAATTTTTTAGCGGAAGTGCAATTTTGAAAGACTAAAAGCTTTATTAAAAATAATAGAATAAAATAAACAAATCGTAATTGATCAGACCTCAAGTTGTGTAGAATTTGCTACTAAATACTGATCATAAGAGCCGAATCAGAAAAAATAAAATAAAAAACATATTGCGAAAAAGGGCAAAAAGAGAAACGAAAAAAAAAAAAAACCGAATTGGCTTTTGGTCAAGAAGGCAAAAAAAAAAAACGCAGCACATCATATTTATTTTTGGTGAAGAAGGATAAGACAGCAATGGTAAACCAATTGATTTCCTTCTTTTTTAAAAAGTTTTTCTATTTAAAACCCACACTTTTTTTTGTTCATTCTAATACTTAAATCATTAAGCTCTTAAGTTTTATTACTGTGTAAAAAGACAAAAAAGTGATCCAACTTAAGACTTAACCCTAATACATCTATATACACACCCCACCACTCTTCATGTTAAGTTTTAGAAAAACACAAACATATGGACACCTGTAACCACTGGCGGATCTATGCAGGCGCAAGGAGGTGCACCTACACCTCCGGTCGCCGGAAATCTCCATTAGAGGTGCCGGAGTTGCACCTCTGCTTCAGACCAGTGACGCACATAAGGTGTTCGATGAAATGCGCAAGTGACTGGGCGTTGCCTGCTCTGCTGCTGTGCGCGCATGTTCTTTTTTTTTTTTTAACCAAGCCTGACCAAAAAGACGTCGTTTTGGACCAGTTTGTTTTAAAACGCGCTGCCTTTTTTATAAATAATTAAAAAAAAAAAAGGCCAAAACGACGTCGTTTTGGACCAGGGTTTTTAAATTAAAAAAAAAAGTAAAAAAACGGAAACTGATGCTGTAAACGTGGGCTTTTTTGTGGGCTTTTCAAATGGTTTTATTTCCTTACTTAATTGGGTTTTAATTAAGAGTTCTCTTTATTTAATTGGGTCTTGGGAATTCCTTAATTAAGTAGGATTGGGAATTCTCTCTATAAAAGACCAATTTAACATCACCCAATTTCATCAAAGTGTATGTGCATCACAAGAATCCTGCGTTTTTTTTCCTTCTTGAGTAGGCCAATCCAACGTAAGTTGAATGCATTTTTTTTTTCTTTGAGCAAACTCCAATTTTGTTTATTCTTTTTTTAATTTTTTTTTTGTGTGTGGTTATTTAGCTCTCTCTGTATTAGTAAGATTAGTAGCAAACTCGAGTGAATACCAAGCTATGTGACACGTTATTTGAGGTATAATTAATTTTTATTTATTTATTTAATTGATAATTTGATATTGATTTATTTATTTAATTGTACAATTATGGGACGGTACTTTCAGAGAAAGAGTTTAAATCCTCCTTCAAATAATCCAAGCAGCTCAAATCCTCCTTCAAATAATCCGGCTAGTTCAAACCCTCCTTCAAATAATCCGGCTAGTTCAAATCAACCTTCAAATAATCCGCCTACTTCACAGCCTCCTTGAATAATTCGGGTAGTCCAAAACGATCGGAGGTCACTGAGTTGGATGAAATATATTGGCTAATCTTCCTGCAAACCCTGGACTTAGATGCGAAACCCTATATTTTTTTTTAATATATAATTATCTTGATTAAATATATATTAGTATGTGTAATTATCTTGGTACGTATATGTAAATATTGTTGTTATACTTTTATATTCATTATTATATTATTATAATAATACTTATATATTTATATCTTATTACATATATTATTCTATTATATATATATATATATATATACATATATCTTAATATATATGTGTGTATTACATAATATCTTATTCTATTATATATATATATATGGATATATATTAATAGACCTTGTTAGTTAGTTTTGTCAATTCATAGACCTTATTAATAGTCCTTGTACGTGTCAAAGTGAAAACTATGTTAAGTACCAAGGTTAGCCAACTCACCAAAGAAAAAAGGATATGATTGAAGGAGTTGGAAGAATAATCACAAAGACATTCTTCCTTATCTGCTATATGTATTACTTGGTTAGGAAGTATAAATGAACCGCCATTACACTATCCAATACGAAGTGTTTTACTACCGACTTATTTCCTTACATATAGGACATTATGTGCATAGCAAATGAACCAAGAAAGAAAGAGAGAGATAGAGATAGATAGAGAGAGAGAGAGAGAGATGATGAAATTCTTGAAAGAGATATAGGGCTTAGCTTGTATTTTCTTAAATTGGAGCAATGCTTTGGAATCGAGGTAGGGGTTTCTTGGGGGCCTTTACGGGGATTGATCTAATTAAATTTTATGAGGTCAGCTCTATATTATGTGTGATATTGTATAATGTTCTTGATATAGGATATTTACGTATTGTGAACTATTTGAATAATGTTGGCATAATTATATCATGTCATGGTAATTGGTTGGAGTTGTTGGGTTGAGAAAATAATGATGGAAAAGAGGGTAATGGGAATGGTCTTTTGTGCAGTTGAGTCTAACTCTTGGCAGGTACCAGATCTCAGGGATCTCATAGTGCACATAGTTTTTATTGGGTGATTCGGGACTGGCGAAAGGGAGTTAGACAAGATGACTAACAAAAGGGGAATTACAGGATGATTGAGATGGGTGTTAGTTCATATAAACGGGCATTCGGGACCAAGTGGTATAAGCATAGTATGGGACGTGCAGGTCTGCTTGTCCAGTTATATGAATTAATAAGAATAGATGAAGAGCATTCATTCATGCATTATTATTATTATTAATCTGATATTTTGGTTGTGTGATTGCATGTCACTTAATTTAGTTATATCGATCTACTGTGCAGGTCTGCTTGTCCAGTTATATGAATTAACGGGAGTAGATGAAGAGCATTCATTCATGCATTATTATTATTATTAATCTGATATTTTGGTTGTGTGATTGCATGTCACTTAATTTAGTTATATCGATCTACTGTGCAGGTCTGCTTGTCCAGTTATATGAATTAACGGGAGTAGATGAAGAGCATTCATTCATGCATTATTATTATTATTAATCTGATATTTTGGTTGTGTGATTGCATGTCACTTAATTTAGTTATATCGATCTACTGTGCAGGTCTGCTTGTCCAGTTATATGAATTAACGGGAGTAGATGAAGAGCATTCATTCATGCATTATTATTATTATTAATCTGATATTCTGGTTGTGTGATTGCATGTCACTTAATTTAGTTATATCGATCTACTGTGGTAAGGTCTCATGTCCCTACTGAGCTGTGGTTGCTCACCCCTCACGCTGTTTAATTTTTCAGATGAATTAGTGGGCAATAAAAGGAATAAACCAGTTGAGGCTGAATTAGATGAGAGTAGTAGAGCTTTATTTATTTATTGTAAAGTTATAAGATTTTGGATCTATTTTTATAAGAGAATTTTATTTTAAACCCTAGTTTTGGATTTTAATTAATTTTTTATTTTATTTTATTTTTATTTTTATTTTCTCACGCACCGGACTCGGGGTTTGCACCGACCCTCGGGTCCGAAGCGTGACATTAGACCTCCAATGACTTATTATAATCCCAATTTTCGAGAACAAATCCGAAGAGCCTATCTGCAAAGGGGCCTTGTTAGCCTAAAAGCCAAAACGACATGCCTCAAACACTTATGGGGGAGAGTAATCGACGTTTTCTTGTGAAATGGTTTGATTCATTTGTTTGGTTGGAGTATAGTAAAGAGAAAGATGCTGCATTTTGTCTCCATTGTTATCTTTTTAAATGCGACTTTGATAAACAAGGAAAGGCTGGAAACGATGTCTTCACTGAGAAATGGTTTAAAAATTGGAGGAAGGGACCCGAGAATTTTAGGGACCATGTTGGACAAGTTGGAAGTCTTCACAATAAAGCTACACAACATTGTACAGATTTAATGAATCAGAAGCAACACGTTGAAACCATTGTGATCAAGCAGACAGACCAAGCTCGTGTTAATTATCACATTCTATTAACTGCCGCACTTGATTGCACTAGATATTTATTGCCACAAAGTCTTCCTTTTCGTGGCCATGATGAAAGCGAAACATCTAGCAATAAGGGTAATTATGTGGAGCTGTTGCAATTTCTTGCCAATCATGATGAGAAAGTTCGTGCCGTTGTGTTTGAGAACGCTCCAGGGAATCTCAAGCATATTGCTCCTAACATTAAAAAAGAAATTGTCAACTCTTGTGCCGCTAAAACCATTGATGCAATTATTAGTGATATGGACGATGCATTCTTTTCTATATTGGTAGATGAATCACGTGATGTTTCAATAAGAGAGCAAATGGCGGTGGTGTTGCGTTGTGTGAACAAAAAAGGGCAAGTAATTGAAAGGTTTGTAGGTGTCCAATATGTCTCTGATACGACTAGTAACAAATTGAAAGAGGCAATTGAACAATTGATTTCTTCAACAAATTTGAGCATGTCCAGGCTACGAAGACAGGGGTATGATGGCGCTAGTAATATGAGAGGTGAGCTCAATGGTCTTAAAACATAGATTTTGAGAGAATATCCTCAAGCATATTATGTCCATTGTTTTGCACATCAACTACAACTAGCTCTTGTAGCCGTAGCAAAGTGAAATGAAAACATTGCTACTTTCTTCACAATGGCTAGTAGTGTCGTTAATATTATTGGAGCATCGTGTAAGCGTCGTGATACACTTAGAGAGCAACAACAAAAAGATATTATGAAAGCCCTTGAAATTGATGATCTTGAAACAGGGCGAGGGTTAAATCAAGAGACTACTCTCAAGCGTCCTTATGATACACGTTGGAACTCACATTATGATACTTTACTTAGTATTAATACTATGTTTCATCCGGTGGTGAAGGTGCTTGAATGGATTGTTGATGATGTCAACCAAGATAATTTAGGTGAAGCAAATAGGTTGTTGAAAGAAATACAAACTTTTGACTTTGTGTTTCACTTATATTTGATAAGATTTATATTGGGAATTACAAATGATTTGTCGAAGGCATTACAAAAGAAAGATCAAGATATTGTGAATGTGATGATGTTGGTCCAAAGATGTAAGCAAAAGCTACAATCCGTGAGGGATGATGACTTTGATGATTTTCTTGGCCAAGTATCAATGTTTTGCGGCAAAAATGATATTGACGTTCCTAATATGGATGATTTATTTGTACCACAAGGGAGATCAAGACGTAAAGCTCAGAAAATCACAAACCGCCATTATTATCGTGTGGACCTATTTCTTACTATCATTGATAAGCAACTAGTGGAATTGAATAATCGCTTCACTGAGGTAAATACTGAATTACTTCTTTGTATGGCATGTTTGAGTCTGGCTTATAATTTTGCGGCTTTTGAAAAACAAAAAAATACTTTGTTTTGCTAAATTTTACCCTCAAGAATTTAATGACCGAGACCTCATGAAGCTTGAAGATCAACTTGGGCTTTATATTGTTGAAATGGATAGCAGCACAGAGTTTTCATCATTGAACGGAATTACTGATCTGGCAGAAAAATTGGTGAATACAGGAATGAATAGAATATATAACTATGTGTATTTACTTCTTACATTAGCTTTAGTTTTACCCGTTGCAACTGCTTCGGTTGAGAGAGCTTTTTCAGCTATGAATATTGTGAAAACACCATTGCGTAACAAAATGGGAAATCAATAGTTGAGTGATAGCTTGGTTGTTTACATTGAGAAAGATGTTTTTTCTTGTATTAGTAATGTAAATATAATGTAAGTTAATTGTAATGTTATTTTTTTAATTAATATGAATAACATTAGTATTGTTTAAATGATAAGGATGTTTAGTTGTCCTTTTTTTTCTTTTTTTCTTTTTTTTTTGAGCTCTTAGCTTTTAAAAATTGCACCTCCGCTGAAATTTTTTTGGATCCGCCGCTGCCTGTAACCTATCGGGCTTAGTCTCTTCTAGTGATCTCACCATTGCTGTGTGTGCCACTCTGAGAGAGTATTGGTTGAGAGAGAGAGAGAGAGAGAGAGAGAGAGAGAGAGCAAAGGGGTTTTGAAATTGGTACTTAGGTGACAAAGGGTAAATTTAAAAGATATTCAACCAAGAACGCAGCAAACTTCACACACTCTAGACCTTGACCAAATACTCTTATGACTAGTCAACTATCAGATATGAATTATACCAAACAATAGCATACACAGAGCATACCAAGATGTACCTGCAAGCCTAGAGAATTACTAGTGACAACCTAGACACTCAGAAGGACCCATCAATCTAGGCATCCCCTATGCTAGCAACAACTATGGTGAAAGTGTGTGAAGACAGCATAATCAAGCAA